CGGCGTTGCACCGATTTTGTGTAAGTAATATGGTTTAAATTATGTATCTCTCACTTTTTAAGTAATTGTATGGTAATTATTGATAGCATACCTAATTCAATGATTGCCGTACTTAAGGAAGTATCCGATATGGGGTATTCATTATCTCTTCTTTTATGCAAAATTTTATTTTTGTCACGAAATAGCAGTGTCTGCGTTGCCATGTTCCGGTCTGAAGTGTCTAGAGAGATGATATAATTAGATGTTGTACAACATTCCATCTTAGTCTTCAGGTGTGACAACAAAATCTTCTTTGATTATTGTTTGAATTGTAATACAAAAATATTACAATACCGAATATGAGTATTTTGCAAGAGTCCTAAATATTTTGAATCCTCCTAAAATACAATGTTATCGTTATTCCAGAAGCGTTCGTGTAGGTTAGGACGAGTGTGCGCTTGTCTGTTAGCTCGTGCACTTGAGGTACCTACTATAATTTACGTATTTAATTTTTATAGATTTTTTTATAAAAATAAATTAGCCTCTTATAGTATTTTATTTTGTATGTATATTTTTCTTCTGTAGTGACGCTGTTAAATTGATATATTTTTTTTGGAACGAAGTTCCTTATCGGACGGTACGGGTTTGGCGGATGGGAGCTAGGCGACAAAAAGTGTAAGATTTTTTCGTCACTACCCCTTGTGTCATAGTGTAGACGGCCTTGGCGGCGAAATAAGTAAGTGAGATGGAGTAATATCCATTTCCATCGCACTTATTCTTATATTGCCATGAAAGAAATATTATTTTATTTCAAATGACGCTTCATTTTAATAGACGATAGTAATTCACTTATTTGTATTTGTTAATCAATAATATAATATCTATGTTTATCCATAATAATATAATACTCAAGGAACTTCGTTCCAACCGAGTGTTCCACGACACTCAGAATTTTTATTTAATTAAAAAAGTGACAAATGAACTTGTGATCATAAAATTAAATGAGTGTGATGGTATGTGGTTACTTCAGTCCATGGACATCTGCAGCCAAGTTCAAACAAATGGGACTACAGATCTGTTGTCACCTCCGAGGACTGAGATGGAATGCCTCAAGGTCATTGTATAGATTCTTGATGCCCTTGCACATAGTATACTGAGCAAGTAAGAGGGTGGTACTTACCCAGGCGGATTTTATGCAGAAAATGACTCTTACCACCTGGCAAAGATGCGAAGATCTTATCATTAACTACATATAATAGGTATCACAGTCGTTGATGTCAGTTGGACGTAATTTATCTTGTTAAACTCAAATGCTCTATTTATTTTTAACAAATGTCTTTCTCCAACACTAGAAATTCGAGCAATCTTTGAAACCCACATTACTCATAAATGATTAGTCCTATACACTTCCTTTTTTGCATACCTAATAAGAGTCCTTTAAATACCTAGAATCTTAATTTCTTCAATAAACTTAAAAGTAAAATTTTTATTACTCACTGACTCACTCATAAAAACTTAGACCACTTCTAGATTACTTAGTAACTTAAAATTTGGTATCAAGGTAAATGCATTTTGTATGTGGTAGAGCGGCTATATTATGGTTGTAGCACGAATTGGTCGACTCGACCGGGTAGGACCACGCTCTCAAAGAATACCACCGTAAAATAGCAGCTTAATGCTGCTGTCTTTCATATGTGTGAGTGTGGTGAGTGTGCTGAGTGTGGAGAACCGGATACCCTATTTATTGGAAACGGGGCATTCCATATCAGTCTTCAGAGGCGACAACGCATCTGCATTTTGATAATTAATTGAGGATAAATGTACATGTCTTTGGGCCACAGCATCCATTTACCATCAGGTGGACTGTGTGCTTGTTTATCATCCTTATTTAAAAAAAATCATTAGGCGTTTACAAAGGAAATAATCTAAAATCTACAAACTATCGATACTTTTTATTATTTATATCGATTTAGTTATAAGTACAGTAATTAAAACTAACTGCACAAATAATTTTGTCGAAATTTAATTCATATAGCATTAATGAATAATAGAAAATGCAAGAAAAAGGTTATGTAGGCCTTAACTTTTTTTAAATAAATAATATATCACAACCCCGGATATCCGCAGTAGAACTAGAGTGACCGACATAGCCCAACGGATTAGTAAGCTGAAGTGGCAATGGGCCGGCCATATAGCTCGAAGAACCGACAACCGATGGGGAAGAAAGGTTCTCGAGTGGCAGCCTCGTACCGGCAGGCGAAGTGTAGGGCGTCCCCCCACTAGATGGAGTGACGACCTGGTAAGATATGCAGGAAGTCGATGGATGCAGGTGGCTCAGGACCGTGCTTTGTGGCATTCTTTGGGGGAGGCCTATGTTCAGCAGTGGACTTGTGAAGGGCTGTAATGATGATGATGATGATGAACCCCGAACGTCGTTTGTACCGAACTTGACCCCTTTTCACATTTATGTTTTTGATGGGATTAAGGGTTACTAAAATAATGAATCCATTGGCAATAATTTAAGCATTATCTCTTGATGGCGAATTAATAATAAGGGAGGATTAATATTAAGAGCTTATAAATACTTAAAAATTACCAAATAAATGCGTAAAATAAATCTATTTATTTATTATATTAATTAAAAGTTCTCTGTTGTTGAAATTTTCATTTAGAAAAACTTTAAAGCCCAAATTTTATCATATTAACAATTCTAAAACGTGATGATTTTGAGGTCCATAGATGCCGTTTTTATTGGTTTTCAAAACTTTCTCGTTTCGCATATGTAAAGAAGAAATTATGTTGTTGTGTCCAAGATCATTTTATTTGACGATTTAATGCATAATCTGGGGGCACTGTAGTGTCCCCGTCAAGACCAGCCATACAAACCCTAAACGAAGCACTACCTACCTTATCTCAAAGGGCTTCGCCGTTTTTTTAAACCCTCATAACTTGGGTTTAGATTATACCAGATAAAAATAAATTATCGAGATATAATGCCAATAGTAGACTTATTAAACATGTAAAGTTTCAATTGCATATCTCTTTTACGTTAGATTTTATTGATATCTAAAAACCCCAACTTCGTCACTGACTCACTCACTGATTGTATGTAAGCTAGAATTAGTATAAAAACAATAAAAAAATCTGAAACTTGGAAATTTTACCCCCCAACCCCTTAAACTAGGGGATGGAAGTTTGTATGAGACTTCCGCAAATTTTGATGCAATAGGTCTGAAAATTGATACAGGAACTCCTTGTTATAAATAATAATAATAAAATACATTTTTCAGGGTTCTTAGTAAATCACCTCCCACCCTTTAATTTAATTAGGGGATTTTTGGTCATAAGCAACTTACAAAAAGAAGTGAAATCTCATGAAAAACATTTTTTATGTAAAAAGTTGCCAAGACGAGAACATATGGCTCGCACTGTCAAAAAGTCATCAGGTCTCATGTAGAGCCCAGCTTCTAACTCTACACGCCCTAACTTCACAAACTCTATGCCGTAGTCAAAATATGTGGCTTGGTCTGGGCAACATTTTACATGAAAATGATTTTGGTGGGATACAATTGAATGATTTAGTTTTTAATTAAAACTGCCTCTTGAGTGTTTCTTTTAAGAAAAAATCGAACTTACAATAGGTAGATACTTAGAATAGCCTAAATGGTGAATTTAGTATGTGAGTTTTTATTTAAAAAATGTGAATCCTTGTGCCATTGAGAAAATAGAAAATGATTCGTGACTGTCTCAGTGAGTCGTAATAGAAATTTCCTTGCTCTTTTTAAAGTTAGAAGGGAATCCGTTGCAACGTGGTGGTATGCGGCACGTCTTGCCCGGGCACGCGCCGCCACAAATCAGCTTCGCCGCCGACGACACCGAATAATTGTTGACAATCCCAACCCGAATTCTTAATGCATTCCACAAGCACCGCCAGCTTGCTAGATGATCTCCTGACGTGTTTACGAATGTTTTTGTTTAAAATTGTAAGGCTATAAACATAAACTAAAGATAATAAGATATAAAAATACTTAAATGAATCAGAAAATTTATTTAGACGGTTAGGACATCTATTAGGTTCACCTACAATATGTATCGTATATGGATTTCCTCGCTGTGGTTGATGGCGTTCAGAAGAACATTTCCAAAATTAAAACCCTTCAAGTATTTTGCATTCGTGATTTATAAGACTTTTGATTTCCCAAATTTTTTCTTGTTTTAGATACTGTCATGGGAAATGTCATGGGTTCGAATCCGTCATTCGACTACTGTCGTGAACCACTTCTAACACAAGCATTTTAAGCTTACCAGAAGTGTTTGTAGGGAATATCAATAATATTTAATAGCATTACTAGTACTCAAAAATTTTTTTTTCGGTCCTGGAATAATTTTTTATAGTTTATTTAAATACTTGCTTCGTACGGTATTTGAAACCGTGGCTCGGCATCGACGATACCACATGCTTAACCACTGCGCCACCGAGTCATTGAACTTCATTTACTGCATTTAATATTTATGTTAAGTTAATGAAAAGTACGTTGTTAACATTTTTGTAATGATTATTAGCTAATGGTTGCCAGAAACAGAAACAGAAACAGAAACTTTTTTATTCAATATAGATTATAAATAATACTTATTGAAAGTCACTCTTTTGTATAATTACCAAATTCGTTCATTATAAATAAATGAATTATATTAAGATATCTTAGTAAGCTGAAGGCAATGGGCCGGCCATATAGCTTGAAGAACCGGCAATCGATGGGGAAGAAAGGTTTGCGGTGGCAGCCTCGTACCGGTAGGTGATGTCCTGCGGGTCCCATTAGAGGAAGTGACAACCTGGTAAGACATGCAGGAAGTCGATGAATGCAGGTGACTCAGGACCGTGCTTTGTGGCATTACTTGAGAGTCCTATGTTCACCAGTAGAAATGCGAAAGGCTGTAATGATGATGATGATGAATCTTTCAATAAAATGTGACATATTTTGACAGGTTTTATAGAATATTTATAATGCATTTTCTTCCAGGAAAATCATTTACCCTGACCATTATGTTGGCGACATCGCCGCCTCAAGTGGCGACCTATCAGAAAGCGATTAAAGTGACGGTGGACGGACCCCGAGAACCTCGTTCTAAGACGCGGCATCACGGCTTTCATCCTTTCCACTTCGGGCCAAGATTTGCACCTGACCCGCTAATGGGCTCGCTGCCGTTTAAGTTGTCAGGTAAGATTAATTTGGATAATTTATATGTACATAGTTTAATATTAACTTAGGTTAATGCCACAAATTTTTGTTACCGAATTTCGGTCACGTCGGACCGCCTCAGTGAAGATCTGCGCGAGTCGACCGAGAGGATATAAGTGTACGAGTGTGTGCGCAAGCATAGGTGTTCTCTCTAATTCAACACGGTCCGATGGGACGGCATTCCGATACGACCGAACAGATATCAGGTGCAGTACCGTCGGCTTTACATGGTTTCCGAGGCAACGCGAAAATACCGTCAAATTTCCTGATTCCGGACTGCTACTGAGAATTTCTTCACAGAAAGATCTAATAACTGATTTTGGGCAGGCCCGGGATTCCAAACCAGAACCAAATGACCAGCAATCGCTCGGGACCAACGAGGCAGTCAAATGTCGTTGAAAATATTATCGATTTAAACCAACCACATTTTTTTAGATCGAGAGCCCTGCTATAGTTGTATAGTTTTGTGATAGTGATTGCTTGTCTGAAGGATGTCTTGAGTGACTCCAAATTGGGATGAGGCTTTGAGCACGCCTTTTCCTCCAAGTGTTGCCATATCTTGTAATCTAACGGATTCAAATCTGGACTGGAGGATGGTCAGTCTTCGTGCCGGATGAAGTCGATTTCAAGCGCCGCCAGCCAGTCTTGTGTGCTCTTCGCTCTATGAGCTGGCGCCGAATCTTGTTGGAATACCCAGTGCCTGTTATTGAACATGGTATGAGAAACAAGTTCCACAAGGTTCGTCAGGACTGTATTTTGATACACAACTGCATTCGTTTTTACACCTTTCTCACAAAAATGTACCTCTGTTAAGCCCCAATAAGAAACTCCCAACCATACCATGAGCGAGGATGGAAAATGACCTCGTTGGACACGCGGAATACGGTTGCTCGCTTCTTCACTACTGTGTGCGTACACCTTATCATTTTGTTTGTTATAGCTCTCTTCTACGGTAAAATTTTTTTTATCCGAAAACAGAATTTCCCGATATTTTTTTCCCGCGCACCGCTTCAACAAAGCGCGTCATCTCTTCAGTCTCAGGTCCATTAGACGAGCATTCAAACGATGTCCTGTTTTTCTTCAATATGCCCGAAGCCCTAAGTCTTCATTTAACACCCTTTTCACCGTGGTTCTGCTTAACCCCATCTGAAGGGCCAAAGTTTCTGCTTACATTTGGGATTTCTTTGAATGCGCCTTCACAGCTTTTATCACTGCTGGAGTTCTAACAGACCGAGGGCGACTACTTCTTGACCTGTCATCTACACTAGAGTCTTCATTGTATCGTTTGATGGTACAATAAACGAATCTTTTATATTCAAATTTTTCAGTATGTCAAAAATTTGAATTGGCGCGTAACCGCAACGATGCAACGCAATAACTGTAACACGGTCTTCTTTAAGCGTCCACTCCATATTTAAAAATGAGTAACATTCTAAAAAGTATACAGTTTTATTTTCATGAGCAATTCGAAATTCGAATTCAATAAACTTTTTTGTGGCCAGCATTCTAAAAGAAAAGTTTTTACTGTGTGACAATACTTATGGCCTGACTAGGTATATCAGATATATTAGAAAAATCACAAAATATTGATAATAATACAGGTAGGTGGACGGAGGAAGTAAAATGACACGCACGCACCTACTACACATACATATATACTCGTATTTTGTTTTAAAACGACAGTAAAAGACAAAGAAAATAAGCCAGGGGCGTTACAATAAATCACACATGTAATAGGGACAAACTATGCTCTACTTAACATTTATATAACTATTCGTATGTGGGTTAAATACTCTTACAATCTCCTGCTATTTCAGTTGTTTCGAAATTAAAGGTGCTTTATCACGTTGCTAGTATCGTCGCGTTAAGTTCCTTTTAGTTAAGGTTGACAAAACTATGCAAAGGTATTAATCAATTTAAATGGTGGGCTCTTTTACGAGGTGGTCCCTACCACCTCGTAAAAGAGCCCATCCCTTCTTATTACATAGCTTCAAACTCGTAATTATTGTACAAAAATTAATGTAAAAGTAATTTGATATGAAATCAATTAAGTTAGTTTGGCTAACGGTACTGTGTGAATGAAACGTTGTAAAATGAATTTGTAGTTTGTTGTTTAGGATATCTCCACGCTTTGAGATCTACAACGTCCGATTCTACTGTTTTTAAAAGGGATGTCGCGTGTAAGTGTGAACGTACGTACGCAGACAGCGTTATTACGTTCGTACATTGAACTTTTTCATGACTCGAAAGAAACAATGATATAATCTTCCACCATACTACATTATAAATACTTAATTTTTTAATTAAAATTCGGACGTCTGATTAGGCACGATGATACACAAGTGGTTATATTGCCCCATTTCTTTTCACTGCCTTAGAGTACGTAATAGCAGTAAACAATAGTTTGTTTCATGTACAATAATAGCATTTTATACTAACACTTACGATCCGCCCCGGCTTCGCATGGGTGATTTCTGGATCGCGACAACATCGCCACCTAACGGGTCCAATTGTGAAAGTAAATCATCAAGGATCAACAAACCCACTCAAAGACAAACAAAAAATTTTATCAAAATCCGTCTAGCTTTTTAGAAGGAGTTCAGTGACAAACATACGTTCTCTACATGTGTTTTTAGTACATCATCATTACAGCCCTTCATAACTACACTGCTGAACATAGGCCTCCCACAAAGAATGCCACAAAGCACGGTCCTGAGCCACCTCCTGAGCATCCATCGACTTCCTGCATGTCTTACCAGGCCGTCACTCCATCTAGTGGGGGGACGCCCTACACTTCACCTACCAGTACGAGGCTGCCACTAGAGAACGTTTCTTTCCCATCGGTTGTCGGTTCTTCGACCTATATGGCTGGGCCATTGCCACTTCAGCTTAATAATCCCTTGGGCTATGTCGGTTACTCTGGTTCTACTGCGGATATCCTCATTTCTAAGTTTATCACGCAGAGAAACTCCGAGCATAGCCCTCTCCGTGCGAGCTTGAGCGTCCTCATACGGGTTTTTAGTACGTGAGATTATATATTAAATATAATAGAATGAGATGAAATTTGCATTTTGTTTCATATTATAAAATACTACATGTTAAGTGAACTGTTATGCAAGGATTGAGTTTATTATGAACACAAACCTCCTTATAACATCGAATACAAGTATGAAGATACCAAGGAAGTTTTAATTTTATAATCTCTATATATAAAAATAAATTGCTATCCGTTAAATAAAACTCAAAAACAGTGCGACCGTGTTTTTGTGTGTGTTTGAACAGGTCCCTAGATGGTTTAGATTCACATTTGGACCCGGTATGTGGCGATGTTGTAGAGATCGAGATGTCACCAGTTTTTCTATTATAAATAAGAACTGTGCACATTTTTCATTACGTAACATGATTTTAAATAGTCAATGCTCGTTTTTATTAGAAAAATCCATAAGAACAGTTAGAAGAAAACGTGAGATAAAAGAACGTCGACCCCCGTATCGTTGGTAGCCTGAAGGAGGGCAGAACATTTCTATTTATTGGATATTAAATTGTCAGCCTAGACCGTTGTCACATCGCCGTGTCCAACGCTTCAAAGGGGGATTTAATTTGGGCAAAAAGTTTCGAGTAACAATTAATTATTAGGAAGTGCCGTACCCTCTTTTGACACCTACAAGAAGCGTTGAGGGATTTTGTTGTCCTGTTTTTACTATACATATAAAGATGCAAATATACAAATATGTTGAAAACGTATTAGCACCAGATGCATAAAAAAAGCAAAATTTTTCGTAGAAGTATGTTATAGTAGATGATTTTATAATAACTCATAATTCGTTGTATATATTTACCTATTATAGGCATGTATTGGATTTGTAACGCTGAAATTACTATGATTTCCACTATTTAATATATTTTTACAGTTGTCACTCTTTTGATTATGTATAATTGATCCAGGAAAATAAGAAGGCGTATGCTAAGTTAATGCTATTTAATGAAAATTGTTTGTGAGAAGCTGTTAATTTTCAAAATAAATAAATGAAAAAATAATTATAAATTGGTTCGATATTATTATTAACTTCCCGTTTGGTCGAATTTTCGCACATGATATACAAGAACATAACATGTTAAATTTTGGATTTACAAAATTCCGAACCTTGAAATCGGAACTAGAAAAAGTATAGAAATTATGAAAATCTACACAAAACTTTGATTATTATAAATTAGCGTTGCTTTACCAATATTGGTCATCCCATTACTAAGAGCCTGGTATTCTTCATGTTGTTAGTTTAGGTTCTTAAGTTTAATATTTTCTTATATCAATATCTAAAATATTTACTTACACATTATATATTATGAACATCATCATATACGAGTTACGTCCAGACAAATTAGTATAATACGAGTAATAATAATCTTTATTAAAATAATACCATTTACTAAAAGTAATATTGAAAGTATCTACCCAAACCGCCACTTTTGGCAGGTGATATGGCAATCGTCGTATCAGACATCTGATACTTTGGTGCTGCTTATACGCAGGTCCCATTTTACATCTGGTAGATATTTATACAGTCACCTATCGAAAACCATGAGATCTTTGATCTTACGCTGTCAATATACGGTGATAGATTAAGAGAAAAATGTTAACACAAGCAAGTAAAATTACTAAAAACTTTTAATATGAAATTCGTGTATAAACTCTACAATGCACTTTCTACGGTAGGAATCAAAAGATTTTGCCAATAATGCCGTCGAAGTCACACCCCGTCACCTAAGCAACGGTCGCGTCGCTAGGCATCGTCCCGAGCCCCGTCTGGATTATGCGACTAACAAAGATGTCAATAAAAAGTCGAGTATATGTAATGAATTGTTCGCCTGAGGCAAAATTAAATCGTGAGTTTTCTAGAAAGCTGTTTATTACTTTCTCAGAGATGGTGTGTCTAATATAAAATATGGTCATCGTTATCATCAATAATGCAACCCATCAC